TAAAGGGAAGATGTGCCTGACTGACTCCCTATCATTTCAAGGGTACAAGTATTAATCCTCATATGGATCAGTCCCACCTCCATTTTTCAAGACAGAAGATCTGCCACCTTGCAAAGGTTTGTAATTTCCCCTTTGCTATACATCCAAATTGCCTGAAAAAAAATACAGCGCAAGTAAGGGAAAATGCTTACTTACAGAGCATTTTCTTAGATTAGGCAGATAAGAAATGAAAGACCAGCTCCAACACTGGCTACAAACTTAGCTGATCAGGTACTGCAAGCAGAACCCAGCTGAAGTAAATGCATTTCCATTATAAATTAGTATCGGATGCTGATCTCCAGAAAAAAACAGTTCAAGGTAACAACAGAGTGAGCAGGGTTACAACTTTCCAAAATTAGCCTGACATGATCTAATTCAGCTTCAGTGGGAGTTAGATTGGGCCACATGCCCACAGCAACATGAGTCTAACTGCTGCCTCTCAAAAGCAATAGTTAAATGAAAACTGTCTATTACCTTAATTAACCTGACCCAGCCACATACATTAATAATTACTTTTTTTTTTTAATAGTATCTTTCCTCAAAGTTTCCACAGAGTTCTGTAAATCACTTCAAGACAGACTTTATATGCATGTTTTATATACGTAGCAAGAAGGCTGGCAAAGAAAGGCCAGGATGATAAACTAGAAAGATAAACCCGCATATCAGTGTTTTAGAATAAAGAAATACCAGCTTCCTTCACTGTGTGAGACAGTTTCTTCATATCCAAATCTCAGTGCTCTTATTTAATGTAAGTTTCTAAAGCACCTAAAAATTGCAGCCACCACTTGTTGCTATGAGGAGAAAACCCTACGTCATTTCAACAACAATAATATGTACCAGTAATGCTCAACTGTTGCTGCCAGGGATTTTTTCCATATATCATGCAAATACCTCACCTGTCATACAAAAATATATTCTTAACACTCAGTTGCTGTAAGATTAATTTATTTGCAGTGCCAGGAATGCAGCCTTGAGGAAAAAAAAATAATTTAAAATGGCTTTGGTGCTTTCATCTTGATGTTATTTTAATGTGAATGTTTCATTACAGCAATATATCTATGACCAATGAGGGAGATCGTTTACCTCTTTAGCTACTTAAATTCTATTTAAATGGCCATTATGAATGATTGTAGAACTAATGAATTGGTCTTCAAAACAGTCGCAGAATTTAGGAAGCCTTTTGTAGACGTAAGAGGCAGATATTTAACAAGTCCCGAAATAAATATTTGACAAAGCGAATAGAGTAAACACACATCTCAAAATATTTACCCAGGAAGCCATGGTTGGCCCTTTTCAGGTGGGGTTAAGGGGTATATACACATACTTGCTGAAGTTAAGGTGGATTTTTTTTTTGGTCAATTTTTTGTGAAATTAGAAGATGGAAGAATAATAAATCCATCCATGAGCAATTTAGCAAAGCATAAGAAAGTGTATTTTTCCCCAAAAGTGCAAGCTTAGGTTGAGGATGAGAGGTTGTTTTTGAACTTCTGCATTCCAGTAGCTCCAAACTCCACAGGCAAATCTTCAGATCTGAAATAAATACAATTCTCCAACCTTTACTTCTCCTGGCATCAGGAAAGAGCTATCTGAATCTTTGCATTTTTAATACCTCCAGACTGTGGGCTCTAGACTACACCCCATCCTACAGCATTGCAAAATTCTAGCTGGAGGGACTAGCAACCAACAACTACTCAAATCTGCCTGGATTATTTTTAAGATAGAAGAGAACAGTATTATGACTACTCAGATGTATGATTGTTATAAATTACCAGCTGCACATTAAGAAGCAGTAAGCATTAAATTTAAGGCTTCAAGAACCTGTTTGTCCTTAATCTTATTTTTCATATTTAAAAAAGTTTTGTTACAAGATAGGATGGATTTCTTACATTTATGCCCTGACCAAATATGAACTTGAAAAAAAAAAAAAGAAAGGTATTCCATTCTACACTGATGTGGTTGTGAGATAAACATGTTTTGACATCCTAAAAGACAATAATGACATAAAAATTAAGTGTAATATTTAAGAGAAGAATTGCTATATTTTATGGCAGCAATAATTTGTTATATCTGACATATTAAGATCTTAATTAACTCACTTTTAGTCTTCTTGAATCATTTACAGTCTAGCTAACATCTTTGTCCCACAAAAATTTGAAACCAAAAGATCGTATGAAGTAATTTTTTTATTCCTCCCTTATTTTTGTGGAAGGATTTAGCTCAAGAGCCTAACAGTATTCTGCTGTTTCCACAGATCCTTCATACAGCTGCAAGGAAACATGTTTAAAAGAACACCTACAATTTTCCATAATAATGAAATTTTAAATTGACTAGGTTCATCAGCTGTGTTTTCAGGTTCTGTTAGTTCTCAAACTATGGCTGAATTTCCACTTGTTATTCCAGGAACTTTTTATTCTGGGTAATTTTACTGGAAATCAGCAGAAAAAAACACTTACAAATACTTATTTGTTGGCTGAATTCATCAGACTTCACTTAATTAACCATACCCTAGTCACACTGCTCTGAAATGCACAGGTTCATAAATACAGTTCTAGGAGGCCACATACCTTGCTTTCTGTCATTCAATAACTATTCAATGTACAACATTTTTAATGCCTTATCAAAAATAGAGATGAAATAGTGCTCTTACAGTTCATGGGCTATACTGAAATAACCTTCTGCAGAAGATTTCTCATATGACTGTGACCTATTCAATTTAATAATCTAAAAGGTACGATAATATAGATTGCCACAGCCTGTGCAGCTAAGCTTACTAGGTTCCTTAAAGCATTCTGACAGCTTTAATAGAAAGGCTGGAAGAGTGCTCAAGGTATCTAGTAGGTAATTCAAAGCTTCCCAACAATTCCATAAAAACTGAACTTTGCCAAGGCAAGAATTCGCAATGTTGAGGTGGCAAAACTAAATCTTACAGCACCAAAGTGGGTTCTAGAAGGAGTCAAGAGGGCTGGGAAAGGGACCATGGAGACTCCAGTGCCTGGACTGGGGGTCAGTAGTGTTGCAGGGGTCTGTGAGCCGCAGCCTCCCTCTTTTTTCACCCCTCCAGCTTCCTAGAACATCCCCTACCTCCACAGTGCTGTGGCTACACAGGATTTACACCGTCAGGAGCAGACCCATCTCTGTCAGATGCAGCAGTAGTAGAGCTTTACAAATAAAATACCAGACTGGCAAACAAGGCCATCCTTGCTGCTGGAATGGCCAATCTCCACCTCTTAACCTAGTCAAAGCAGACAGACAACTGTGCTAGGCAGCAACCTACTTTGCTTACGCTTATGCCTAAAGCCAAATTTGCTTATTATGAAAATGGAAGGTGACACAATAACACAAAACAGTTTGAGTCAGTAGAAATGTACGCTGAAGCACTCAATTACAGCTGGGTGAATTAAGGACTGTGTTGCAAATTTTTTTTTTTTTTTTTGCCTCGCACTTTGCAAGTCAAGCTAGATCTTTCAGTATTAAAAATTCCACTTAAAAATTATTTAAAGATCTTATCACCCAATAACTGAATTAATTCAGCTTGTAATTTCTACCCTTGGAGAAGCACGAGCACAAGCCATTTTGTAGGAACCTTGTCGTCTTATTTTGGGGGAACAGAAAGGGACAAGGAATTATCTTTATACCCCTTTTCCCTCTTGTCTAAATCCCCTGCACAGCACTGACTTCAGTCACATTTGGGGAGCCCAATCAGATGACTATTAGCAGAGTCAAGTAGAGCCTTTTGTGCACTGCGCAGTGCTGAGCTCAGACACTGATTCCAAATGGTGATTGTTTACTGGTTCTACAAACAGTACTATCAGCCAAAAGGCACCATGTCTTATCAACTCTCTTTACCCATTTATACTGTATGCACTTTCCCAGTAAAAGGTTGCTTTTCTTTTTTTTTACCATGCCAAGCCCTCATTTTGACCAAAATTGCTTACAAAGACTCCATCCTACAGCTACTTTTGAAAGCATTAGTATCTTCAATAAGAGTTTAAGTTAATTCAAATAATATCATTTCTAAACACAAATTATTATTTTTGCATTCTATAGCTGTAAATACTATCCAATTAAAGACATCTTCATTTCACAAAACACTTATCATTGATAAAGAACTCTCGACATACAGAAACAGTTGTACCTCCATTTACCTACCTGCCCCTATTCAATTTCTCTTTCACAATTCTTATTTAGTAAAGGCTATCCAAGTGTTTAGATTATGCCACTAACTCAGCTTCTTTATAGGTTCTTAATTCTTGGAACACAGAATAACAGTGTGTCTGTTAGTCATGATCTTGCTTCTGTAATAGGAGGTTAAGGGGTCTGATCCCTTGATTTGAATCCATATGCTATGTTGATTTTATAATAAATAACAGATAATCTAATCTGGAAGAAAACTACATTGCTCAAACTAGTACTCTTTGAACGTAATGCCAAAGTTAATCTCTAGCAAAGATATGCAAAAGAAAGAAGTCAGATTTCAAAGCACTGTAAGACTGTTGGAGAGAATCTCAAAAGCCTGATATAAGACCGGTTCTACTGCTCAAAGCTATCTGTGAACCATGACTGAATAGACAGGCCAGACTTTTCACAGGTACCATAATGTTAATGAACCTACTGGCCTGTTTTTGACAGAAGTCTGAATCCTTCTGAATAACCCCACAGGCTTCTGAAGTTAGGCATCCAAATACCAAAGCACCCAAGATTAGAGACCATTTTGGAAAATGTAATCTGCATTCAGCAGTTGCCTATACAAACAATTCTGCTGTAAGCATTTAACTCGTTCTTTGCAGAGCACCATGGAATACATAAATGTGATAAACTTCACATGGAAAAGCTCTGTTCTGTTTGCCATTTCTATTGCATAGAAAGGTCACAGGTTTCGCATTTTAGAGTACCATGAAAGAAGGATCTTTCTCTAAATTATTTAAACCATGAAATGACAGAGACGGAAACATCTGACTTACTGTAAGGTGTTGTATCAGTAGGGTCAGGAGGTGGAAAATTTTCTGTGAAGTTGACATTACACAAGTCCGTACTACAGCAGCAGAAGCGATATGTTCCATTCTGAATCAAGGAAGGGGTGGTTGTAACTATACACTCCTCAAAATGACATTCTTGTGGGTCTCCTATATGAGACCAGCAACCTGTAAAAAGAGGAGAATTAAAGAATTCTTTTTCAAGGAGGCATAAAATTAATTCTACCACATGGACAATTAAACAGACCTATAGAAATCCATACATTGTCTAATTAAATGTTACAGAGTGGGGTGAAAACAGTTATCTTAATTTTGCTTATATGACTTCACTTACACCTTTTAAACCAAAAACTGAAGAATTTCTTTCAGAATTTACCACAGCCAAGGAGAAGAAATATGGGCAGCGAAGGCCAACATCAGAGGTGTCCAGTTGTCAACCTCAATATGGCAAAACCTGAATTCTTGAGCCTTCTAAGCAGAACTATGCCATTCCCCATTTCTCTGATACCACAGACAATATTGCCACTCTCTGGCCCACAGTCTAGATGAAATTGTGACCTAGTCCCCTCCTCAGAGCTAGGCCACAAGACTGCATCTATAGTTTGCTACTTCTTGCATAATTTCTAAAAATTTTGTTCTTTCTCATTGTCAACATTACTGGACTCTTCTACAGGATCACAACTTTTTTCTTGGTTAATGTAGGCCCTTTCTCCCCACAGCAACCATTCCTTCCCAAGTATAGTCGATGGCAGTTAAACGTTGTTTATGCACAAATGCCTGGAAGGGGAAGAGGCAGAGTGGGGGCAGAGGTGAGCAGTCAGACTGCTTCTTTCAGCAGATGACCAGATCAAACATGAAACAACAACACTGAGTACAACTGCACAGGATGTTTGTAAATACCAGTTTTCATCCAGCCTTATGCTACATTAATTTGTATCCAAGTAACCAAGAGCAGAGTCCCTGAGAATGGTAATCAAAACATGTCTCCAGCAACTGGGAGACCCTTCACCCCTCCCTACCATCATTCTCCCCACAGAATAGCAGCAAATTGACAGTTAGTGATATGTGACAGTTTTGTGCTATAGCCGCAATTTCCTTTGTAAACAAACATCAATCAATATGAATATACATTTTTACTTAATGAGACACTTATTTTTACATTTATCATTACATTGACACATATACTGAGATATATTCAAGAAAGCCATCTTCCTCTGGATATCCTAAGTAACAAGCAATTTGAGTGTTTTTTCCTTAAGCTGTGCATCGATCTCTTTGGTCTCTTTCAGAAGTCACTTATTTCAAACAAACTTTCTGGTTGTATTTAAAATGCTAACTGGGAAGTTTAAAATTATGCATTTGTATAATGCATACAAACAAAATGTCTAGCTTTGCAGCTACACTGAAACGTTACATACCTTGTTTTACAAGATGTATGTCTCCTTCCCGTGTTTTTTCCCAAAGTCCATAGCAGGTACTACCTTTCATGCACAAAATTGTGCCATTCTCCTGGGAGATTCTGCTCTCACTGATTCCATGGTCCTGCTGATATGGGTCCTTAAATGCACACAGACGCTCCTCACTCTGTGCAGCTTTAGACAAAGAAGAAAATATTTTTTGTCAGTGATTTTATGCATAAAATATTACTTTTAATAAAAGGATGATTAAGGTCTTCTGGAAACCTACATTCAAAACCATCCTGAATTATATGTATCTGTTCTTTAAACTGTACTTCGACAGTCAGAAATAAAAACAAGGTCTATCTCAAAGTTACTTTCATAAAGAGGACAAAAAAAACCTCAGCAGATGTTTCAAAATGAATGTGCAAATGTTTGAAGTTCACAGGTGCAGAATAAAATTTTCATTGCATAGTCTGCATCATCTGCATCATTTGTCCCCAAGCACAAGTTACGCAACTGTTAGCTGGTTTCTTCAGCAACCACATGCGTTACCTAATTGTTTCCAGATCCTACACCAAGATGATCTTTTTCAGACTGCCATCCAACCCGGTGCCTACCTAATTCAGATGGTTTTTTCCACTCTCTTTCTATTGACCTATCTCTTCTTTTCTACATGTTATCCAGCCATTACACTGACAGTTACTTCTTTTTGCTCAGCAACCTTTCAGTTTCGGCTCTTTCACACGACTTCATTAATGACCACCAACTAACAGCAGAATAAAACCCAACTGATTGACCAGCAGTTCTGGGAAACACTGCCTGTGAACAGGAGCAACGCTGTGTGTAAAGTCTCCCTGTGGAATGTCCAGGAGGAACATTATAAAACATACAAAGAGAGCGCAAAAATAAATACTCATCATCACCTGAAAAATCTTTGGGGTTTTTTATTAGAACAAAACCAAAACCACCCACAAAAAGCATACTGATTTTTACAAGAATATTTAATCAACAAACTTCAAAAATTTAGTGTCTTAAGAAATCATGTTTTACCTATATGATTACTGCTTTTTTGTTTATATCACCTCAATGAAAGGACTCAACCATGCTGATATGCCTCTGTCATCTTTTCTTTAGGAAGAGTAAACACATTCAAACAATAAATTCTTCAGAAAAGCATCAAGTCCAAGATAAATAAATCTTACATTCGTAGTCAATATGCTATTTAGAATATTTTCATTCTTCCCTTGAAGATTTTAGAAAATACATGGAAAGTTAGGTGTGTAATTACAAGGCACTTATGTATTATGCAGCAGTACAGCTCAGCAAACATCCAACTGCACTAAGAATTTGTACTGTGTATCTCAGCAACTAGATTTCATCCAGTTCTTTAACTCCCATGAAAGCATTGGTAGTGAAAAGATGCAAGGTGGAGTAGATTGGTCTTTTGGGAAAACAGATTTTGAACTTAAGATAAAATTATAGCATATGTAATTGTAAATTATTAAAGGTACTGTACATGTATAAAATATCTCCTCACTGAGGATTGATTTATTTGATCATTCTGCAGCACTGGCCACAAAGAAGCCATGTTTCAGCAAGGTAGACTTACTGCAAAAATGCTGTTTCATTGTGTCACCAGCACAGATGATTGGGCAATAGAAAGACAAACCAAGAGACTTAGATACGTGTATCACTTCTAAGGCCGTTACTATTCATTAAGGAGTCAAAATTCAAAATTCTCTTATGCCGAGACAACCATAAATAGCTGCACCATCCAGAAAAGCAGTCTGTCAGTGACTCCCAGTTTATTCTGTGGCAGCAGTAATTAAAACAGCACAACTTAGCTTATTTTTTAGTGGTCTGGTAGGGCGTGTATGATCAGTTGAGCTGCATGTCAGCTCAGTGGTGGTAAAACTCTCAGCTGAGGAGACAGGAACTTCTTAAGGCACCGTAATTCAATCACTTGCAGCTCCATGTACTCCAATAACCTGGCCTGCAGTCCATGCTACTCACCCACCTCTCTGTACACTGGTCAGGGTGCAATTAACATTTTACATCTGAAACTAGAGTTTTGAAGTGATAAATACATTTATTACAAATCAATGCCTTGATAATCCGAAACTCAGTTGCCTAAATTTCATATCTAATTTTTTTTTCTTTCTAAGTGAGTAGAGTTAGTCAAGTTACTGAGGACAAAAAGGTCACACATTAACAGCTAGCACATGCTGCCTCAAGCAGTACTTGCCAGTCGCACGTAGTAGTTTTATTCTCAGGAACAGCTGAGTATGCCAGGCGTGAAGCATCTGTCCTGCATTCTCTGCTCCATGACATGGGACTGGCCAAGAAACAACATATGAAAGGACAATACTCCACTGGCGTAAGAGAACCAGAGCTGACTAACTTTTTGAAAATCAAAAGGAGAAATAATTATCACAGACCTCTAACTTTCAAGACAGAACGGGACAGAATTATACGGCCTTGTGAAATACAACACATCTGCTCCTAGGGACACTACGAAGGTTTTAAAATCAGTTGCATATGATAGCTGAGTGGGACTAAGGTCATCTGAGATGTCGGTTGTTTACAGAATGCTCAAATTACTGCAAGATAAGCCCTTTCATAATTTGCCTTTATTGTGAAAAGTAAATTAAAGAGAACAGAACTTATAAAACAGCCACACAGATTTGGTTTCCTTATCAAAAATCTGTGGTTTAAAAAAAAAGAAGTAATTCCAGGAGAGTCCAGTTTCATAATACCTCAGTAGGTTTAAAAAAAAAAAGAAAGAAACCCAGCAAAGTTTTAAGCTTTGAACTAATGGAAGAAAAAGAAAAAAAACCTTTTGTTTTTTCTTTCTACTCAGAAATATAGTTACATGTATCATGTCTACGCTCGACAGACACAGGCAGGTTTAATTGCCTACTTTTCTGGTCTGTTTACCTTTCTATAAATCTCTTAGGATCAAGGTTGAAAGGCAAGAACATGCAGAAGATACTTGAAAAAAGAAAAGTTGTTAACCGTCATGCTACATGCTGTCCAAGCATACACTATAGAAAGTAACAGTTGCTACCAAAGGCTTTTCTGATTTAAAAAAAAAATGTATTGCCCTATAAGAATACCTGCAGAGGGGAGGAAGCGGCAAGCATGAGAAAGTACAAGACCCACTGCTAGCAACCTGAGTGTCTATCAGTTTTCTAACAAACTAATAAAAATGCAACTTAACTTGCCACAATTTAATGTCAGATGATCTCAGTGGGAAACTTTTCCAACAAAAAATAAAGGTTACTCACCCAACAACTAGAGTTTTCATGCTGATCACTGCACATTCCTTCTTCGATTATAACTTAAAGTAGTACAACCCCTGTGGGAGCAGTACCCACTGCAATACTCTGCTGACCCCTGCCCCTTCCCTGACGGCATGGAACATCTGGAGAACAGGGGACACATAACAAAAGCTACTTTATTTTTCTCTATATGGCCTCTGTAGGTTCATTGTTGAAGCTGTAATGCCGAAGAAAATTGGGTAGGGCATTCAGATGTCCAGAAACCGTCTTGAAGAACAACAGAATAGATGAGCCGCTTCAATTTCTTTGCATGATTTTGGCACATTCAAAAAAAAATCTGGGAATTTGGCAGTGAGGTTTCCTTCTTCCAGGCAGTGGAAACTAGTCAGCTCATACATTTAGTATTGGAATACTTCTAAGTCAGGCCTTGAAAGCAACCTCCAGCCTACATGAGTATGCCTTAAACTTTCCCCCAAAGAAATGGAGATACTACTGCAAAAACACACAGAAGTGCTGGGGTGACTGTTCTAAACTTTACCGATTTCAACAGAAATCTTACCCTTCAAGGTAAAATACTGTTGTTCATTTGGATTTACATGTGTTCCTCATGGATGACCTTTTATGTCAGTTTTCAGTCATCGCGGGAGCCAACACATATACATGGTGCATTCAGAGCTGAAACACATCTACCTGTCTGTCCCTTGGGAGCTCTGCACCTGTGACGTGAAAGGGCAGCCACTAACACTCTCGATAGCAGCTTAGCTGGAAACAATTCCAAAGCTGCTTCTTCCAAAACTCCATCCTTGAAGATATTCAAAAGCCATCTGGACATGGTCCTGGGCACCTGGTCTTAGGACACCCTGCCTGAGCAGGAGGTTGGACAAGATGACCTTCAGAGGTCCCTTCCAACCTCAGCTATTCTGCGATTCTTGTGGGACACAGGTCTCAAGGTACTCAATGTGCAGCAACCAGACAGAAAAACGATATTCCTCAGCTGGGCTACCTGCTTTTTTTTGTCTCCAAGGCAGGCAAAATGGTAGGGTAGGACTAGAACTACTGGATTCTCTTGTTTGTCTTCAGTTCAAATAGATCCAAACCCAAGGAAATACCTTAAGATCTTTATTAAACAAGAGCAATTAAAATAAACAACTTATCCTATGAAGACTGAGGCTCTTGAACTGATCCCTTTGATATAACAAGTTAATTTGCTACCTATGTCAGAAAAATGTAGGGCAAAGCCCCTGCAGACAGATGTGCTCACCAGATATTAAGGACCTGTGAACAGTTCACTGTGCAGCGCTCCTTTCCTTACAGATTTCACAGATCCAAGATGCACCAGCAGTGTATCCTCAAATCGGCAAAATGCAGAAGCTATTTACAGATCAAGCTATACAGTGTATTTGCCCAGACATAAAATGTCCCAACATACAAACAAAACCAAGACCTAGCACCAAAATAAGTGGCAGCACAGGTTTCACAGGACATCTGCTGCATGGCTGAAGTCGTCTTTCAGAGCCCTGCTCTTACTGAAAGAAATCATATTGCAGGCCCTTTCAAGCTATCCATCTCATTACTCCTGCACAAGTTAAGCATCACAAAAATAACTGCAGTAAAATCATGAAAATTAATTTGGATTGCAGTTTCTCTATAAATTTGTAAGTCTATAACAACTCTTTCATCATTAGGTCTAAAGCACAACAAACAGAAAAAACTGCCAAAGATGCAAGTATTCCCCCAAAGATTATAAATCTACTGAACCAAATGAGCAGCTTGGTTTTTGGTGGGGGGTGGGGTGGGGATAGACAGCTGTGGAGAGTTCACTGTACTTAAACACAATTGTCTGATTAAATCAGTACATGACAAAAGTGTAATTTTAGAAATACATTAATTATGACTACGAAAAGGAGAAAGTCACATTAAAGGCTACCTTCAAAACTTGAAAACAT